ACAAAAATGTACCGTCACGAACGTACCCAAAGCCTACTACTAAGTACTACTACTCCTACTCCTACTCCTCCTCCTCCTGCTGCTGCTCCTGATGCTTTTGTTCCGATTACATGACTAAACTATGATGTTTTACATATGTAGCCTACCATCGCCATCGCCGTCAGTACCAATGTCTTTCGTTGTCGTGTGCTGATGTTAACTTCGATCGGAATCCGGACAAATATGCGCGGGTATGATGAGAATAGGCTGCCGCCCAATGAACAGGTGGGGAAAGAATGCCATTGGCGAATTGAGCTCCCATTAAGCCCACCCTACATCAATCCTAAACCACCCTGAGCCCACAACTTTGGAGCCCTAAACCCTAAGCCTTACTAAGCCCAATGCCAAAAAAACCGTAACTAAACCCCAAACCCTGCATCCTTCGCGTGGCCTCCATCTGAGCCACTTCCTCAGGGCTGGGGCCTTGCTCGATGACCACCTGCTCAGAACCCAAGAAAAACACGCTTTAGGCTTTAGGCTTTAGCGTTTTTGAAGCGCTCTCTGGTCTACCTCCCGTGTCCAAAACCCACCGTGACGAGCAATCTCCATAGACATGAAAATCTCCTAAAAACAAGAAAAAAGCTTCGGGTTTAACTTACAGGTTGCTACTAGGGATTAAGGGAATATGTTATATAGGGATCATAGGGGATTATATTTCCTTGTTGCTTTTCTGAAGGCGTCGTTGTTCTGTGTCTTGCTGTTCGGGTAGGGGTTGCGATTGTGCGAGGTGTGTTCGCAGATGCTTGAAGGATGAGGATTTAGGACGGATCTAGGGTTTAGGGCTTTGTGCATCTCGGAAATCATATAGGGATCATTCAAAGTAATCCTTACGTAATTCTGAATCGGGGCCCTGATACCTCTGTTGAGATATGTCTAAGTGGGTAGGATTGGGTAAGGGTGTCTAGAAAAGGGAGGCTCTTGGAGACTTTAGGGGCTCATGGAAACTGCGATTTTGGAAGTGACTGCTGGGATATATAGAGCCGGGACAGTTTTGAGGAAATGTATGGGCACCTACTGCATTTGGTCTCGATTTATGATAAAATCCAGCCTAGAAAAAACTACCCGATACACAAGATCACCAAAGAGCAACTTGAAATCCGTGTTATCACACAAGCTGTGTATGCGCAGCTTCAAAGTGCACCTCTCGCTCGACGATTTTCTCGACAATCTTGTCCACGTACCTGGGAGATGTTGAGGCTGTGCGACATTTCATCCGTTCCCCTTCTAGTGCTGGAGTACCTTCAATCATGCGGATCCAGTCAACCAAACAATGACCAGAAACCGAGAGTATGGTTCTGTGGCCCGGATCAGTGACGCCCCAACGGCAGAGCTACATAGTCTCATAACTTCACGGTGCCAGGAAGCCGGCAACAGGTAAAGATGGTAAGCCAGGGACCCCGAATACCCCAAGCAAGGGGCAACATGCTTCTTCATTCAAGGCTTGCCGCTCTCAACGCTCCTGCTCGGCATCGCTGCATGCAGCTTAAGATTATGAAAGGCCCCATGGTTTTTTTGGAAAGCCTCAAGCTTGCAGACGGAAACAAACTGGGAAGCCCACTCCACCTGCTTTTCCACCCGCGGCGGGAGGGGCACCATGTGGCCCTAAGTCAGCTTGCGCATTTCAGGGGCACAGAAAAGGGGGATCAGCGTTAGATTCAGGGTCTGGTATGTAACTCTATTGAACATGAAAGCTGCCGTCCATCCTTGGCCAATCTCAAGTCTAGCCTCATGGGGGGAGGGGGCTCCATACATGAGGTGCCGCCATCTATTCCAACATATTCTAATCCTTGTTACAGTGACTTCGAGACAGGGTCCTTAAGCGTTGGCAACCCCTTTGAAATAGCCTTAAGGACTAGCGGAATTTCAGGCCACGGCATTTCGCCTCTTCAAGTGCGCTTCCAAGCCATTCTCCAGATTACATTCAGGCCCAAGGACAGATAGTAGGATGGCAGGATGCAGGGACCCTTTATGTGGTAGTTTGCTGGCAGCCCCACAAGCAAGCGAGATTTCCCGTCAAGCTTGACCAACGTACCGAACATGCTGAAAAACACGATTTGTGCCGTCTTGACTCTGCGAGTGCATCTGCCGACCTGTAATTAGCAAAAGCGGGACAGCTGCTCTCAGGCAGACTTCCTCGCCGCTAGGGGAACCTTGAACTCCCATCTGTACTGCTTGACCAAGGAATGTAAGCCCTTGATGGGAATCCTTCCTCACAGGTCCTCAGTGCCCCCCCGGGCGGCGCACATCTATGTACCCTCCTCCTTCGCCCTCTCCACCGCCAGCGGCTTCGAGTTCGGCCTGCGGGTGCATCCCACAGTAGTTATAGCATTGCTGCAAGGGCTCTTACACATTTCAGTGCATTCCACTTCATTATTGCCCGACTTATGTGGTTTGCCTTTACCCAGCAGACGCAAGGTTTGTGGCCCGGTCACTGCGTTGCTTGTTTAAACATAGTTTCCGCTGGCATCAGTCCCATCAAGTTCCAGGCATCAAGATGAGTCATGGATCGTACACCACGCATTATGATGCTTCCCAGCTTTGGGGTATGGAAGGATGGGGTACCATATTGCCTGCCGAGAGGTTGGGATAGCGACTGGTTGCAGTAAGAAACCCGCGCGCCCGAAATAGTTGCCCAACATTCTGTTTTGAATCAAGACTATTTCAGGCATGCCCTAAAAGGGAATCAGAACTTTCGCGGGCCATACTCCTTGCAAAACTCAGAAATGGCGCATGGTCTCTCAATTCCTAAAACCTCAACCCAAATCCCGAAGGGAAAGGGGTTAATGCAGAAGCCTGAAACCTAACATCATCACTCTCTCCAAATACCTCTATGTACAACTATAATACAGTGTGCCCCGCAACCCTGTTCCAATTCTTCAGGTTAAGACCTCACATTAGCAGGCGTGTCTCCGCCCGCATGGCTCAATGGCCTTGAGGCGGTTGATCTCCTCCTGGTACTCCCGGATCATGGCATCCTGCAGAAATCAAGGGTTTGGAGTCTATGATTGTAACTCGCGCAGTAACATTCTGGGTGATAGTTGTGGTAGGAAGTAGTCCTGGTAGCATCGTTTTCATCATGCGCAGCAGCAGCAGCAGCAGCAGCAGCAGTAGCAGCAGGAGCAGGAGCAGGAGCAGGAGCAGGAGTAGGAGTAGGAGTAGGAGTAGGAGTAGTAGTAGTAGTAGTAGTAGTAGTGGTGGTGGCAGCAGTAGTAGTAGTCGCAGCAGCAGTAGCAGTAGTCGTAGCCGTCATAGCCGTAGTAACGTAGTAGCAACATCAGGAAAATAGTAGTCCGAGTCGTCGTCAGCGCCGCCGTCGTCGTCGTCGTCGTCGTTGTGGTCGTTATGTCGTCCTGGTCGTCGCAGTCGTCGCAGTCGTCGCAGTCGTCGTGGTCGTCGTGATTGTCGTGGTCGCGGTCGTCGTGGTTGTCGAGGTCGTCGCAGTCGTCGTGGTCGTAGTGGTCATGTAGGTCGTCGCAGTCGTCGTGGTCGTCGTCGTGGTGATGGCGGTTGTCGTGGTCATCGCAGTCGTCGCAGTCGTCGTGGTCGTCGCAGTTGTCGACCTGGTCGTCGTCGTGGTCGTCGCCCGTAGTAGAAGAAGAAGAAGTAGTAGTAGTAGTAGTAGTAGCAGTAGCAGCAGTCGTCGTCGTCGTCGTCGTAGTAGTAGTAGTAGCAGCAGCAGCAGCTGCTGCTGCTGCAGTAGTAGCAGCAGTAGAAGGAGCAGCAATAGAGACAGGGCCCGTGACAGCTCTGGTAGCAACGCTGTGGCAGGGGGAGTCTCTCCAACTGCGTTCGATGCGCCTTGGGATCCTCGTTGATCCGGGGCTTGTTCTTGATGCTCTTGGCACGGTAGGCATACCTCGCTTTTAGATGGGGATATTGGGGGCGCAGTAACTACGCAGTGACGACGGGTGTCCATATTGAGGATTGGGAGCATCAAAATGTTGAGGGACTCTGAGATTGCTTGGTGTCGCAAGGCTTTTGCATGAAGAAAGGGTTGTGGAAAGGCAAATCCTGCGCGACACGTGGGTGAGCTACATAGTTACAAAGCCATTCCTTGTATAACGAGGACACATGGCGACAAATATGTCAGTCCGCTAGCCACTAAAAAGATCTTTCCATGGCTCTTCTCAGCCAGCCTCAACGTCGACATGGTCTCGTCGTAGTTGTAGTCGGCAGGCCTTGGCATAAAAAAGGGCTGACGTTGCAAATCCCTAATATTTCGGCTGGTTCAAGGCCACCAAAAGATCCAAGAGGAAAGAATAGGGTTTCCTGTCAAACATTGAACGACGGCATGCCGCTTGCAGAGGTAGGCTAGCTTCTCAGAGACAGGGCGGCCAAGTCTTGCGGGGCCTAGGAGGCTGTCGCTAGGGTCACAACCCAATGTTTGCCACCATCACCGTTTTGGTGTTGCCGCCCAAAGAGTCCTGATCCCAAGTGACAATCCGAGAGTCATTTCTTGATTGGAGGTTGGGAGGGCATGACTCTGCATTCCAGGATTCTGTTGCTTTGCAAGGCCAGGTGCCGTTAGTGTGAGGCATCCATGAATACCAAAATGGGTGAAGCCACTCCGGTCAACGCCAACGTTTGAATTAGATTTGGACAAGACGTGTCCCTAGTGACACGTTAACTCATGCCAGCGGATACATCTCACAGAACTATGCCCCAAGCAGTGCAACAAATATGGCAAGCCCACATGAGGCGTGGAGATGACTGGACAGTCAAAATGCACGATCAACAACTAAGACGCATGGTTCGAAAATGCAAAACAAGAATTGCAGGTTCGTTGAGCCCACGTAAGTAGTCACTCAAGGCTGCAAGTGGCACGTCATGCAAGGCTGCAAGTCTTGCATGTCACCCAAGGCTGGTTGGGAAGCGCATGGTCAAAAAGTCACGGATGCAGAACCCCTTGCGGTCCGGCTCTCAAAGCCGCGGACCTCTTGAGGTCCTTATGCGGGCTTGCGGAAAAATTATGGGTACCGTTGCGGGGTCCCTATAAGAAAGATCATAATATTTTATGGTCTATATTGGGGTTGTTATTCTGGGAAACTACCTTCTAATACCCCCAAACCCCATAATACGGATGATGTTGCTGTTGGGAGTCATCCCTGAAGCCGCGCCTGTAGCAGCCTCGTCAGCTTTGAGTCTCTGTAGGGGATGTGCGAAGACTTCCTGGCAAACAAGGGGTTTAGGGTTTAGGGCTTAGGGCTAAGTAGTCTCCATTTTCTTTTCCATTATCCCAAATATGACCCCAATATAAGATAGTGTTTTCCATTTTCTTTTCCATTATCCCAAATATATCCCCAATATACTGTAGTAGTTTCCATGTTCTTTCCATCAACCTGAAGGGGGATCAGGCCAAGCAAATAATATCTTTGAAGCAAGCGGCATTCGTTTTTCCCAAATAGGTTTGGCGCCCACTTAGCCACCTCTCCTGGTGCCACTGGTCCAGGTTCGGCGCTCTGCTTAGTAGTGTCTGGGTTTGACAGGACAGCCCGTCTTTCAAACATGTGGCTATCTCTATGAAGTGTAACTAGTTACAGGGCGGCTGCAGCTGATTGAGGGTGGTTCACAAAGTACGCATGAGGCTTTGCACACATGCCTTCGCATTGGGGCTCGCGCGGAGCGGCTACACAGCCCGAAATCAAAGAACCTCTCCCCAAGTTGCAATCTCTCAAAAAACACCGTGAATCGAGATCATCAGAAACAGATTGCAAGTCTTAGCCAGCTTGACCCATCCACCAGGGCGGAGATGACGTTCCTCTCAGGCGGCTGGTCAAGAAGTTGAAGGCTGGGTTTGGGCTATCCTGCTCTTGCTTCGGGGCTGTAAGATTCATGCTAGCTTGTGCTTTCGGGGCCGCGGTTGTTGACTCGTCGGATGAGGGGAGCCTGTTCCTTCCCTTGATCCTACATAGGCTTCAGATGTAACAATACCAAGCACTAGATTTCAAACTGGTCAATCTGCTTGGGTTCATGTCTGGTGGTCTGGGCAGGCTGCGCGATTTGATTTGGAGAAGATCTCGGCTGCATGCCTGGCGCTTCAGCGCCAACCAGTCGAGAATTCAACAACTGGATTCCACCCAGCGATCCCCACCCTTGTCCCATGCAGCTTGTCCCTTATAACCAAAACATCAGCGCATCAGCGGCTATGAGGCCCCTGTGAGTCAATCAGAACAAGATATTTCCATTGCATCAAAGACCTAGGGCCTTGAGTCGTGAACAATCGTAGCCCCAGACCTGCGCGGACTACAGCTTACACGCCTTAAGGCTCACCGCCACACATCCTCAGAAAACGCCTTCGCAAACAATCCCAGAAAGAAGTGGCTGAACAAAAAGATCACACACCACCATCTGCAGCGGTCCCCAGCGCCGAGAGTGACAGGTTGATCTTTGTGGCCTCTTTGAGGCGTTCACCAGTGGCGCCTGTGACCGGGACACTGGCATTGGGCCATTGTAAGCTTCTGGACACCTTCAATTTTGGGCATTTCAGGATCCCATGCCAATCCTGGAAGATTCGTTGTGAGCTTCAGAGTTCTCAATTTTGGAGAGTAGACTCGGCCACGTGGCTCATCTTAGGTATTCAAGAGATCCCTTGAGAGGAGGCCATGTTCATCGTAGGCTCGAAACTCCAGTCGATCAGCAAGGTCCTATGTCATGCAATGCACCCTGGGATAGTTAATCGTTACTTGACTCCTAGGGCCCTGGCAGAACAAGATGCCCTGATTCAACTCCTTTAAAGTTTAGAGGTTAAGGTGGGGCCTGTCTTGCTCTGTCGCTCAGAGCCCGCCAAGTCCACCATGTTCAGCTTTCCAACCTCAGGAGCTCAGATTGCTCAGGGTTTGCGCAGGCCTCACTCTGCCTGCAGACCTGCTAAAGGCTTCATGGCCCGGGTTTGCCAACTTAAGTTCTGACTTCGGCTAGAGTTGGAGTTCAATGCTTGCCCCGCGGGACTGGAGCCCCGACAGCCGCTTTCTCCTGATCTTTCATTCCTAGGAGAGGCACCAACCCAATAATTGGGTCGCTGTTGAGGAGGTTTCATTAAGTTACTATAAGAAAGAGACCCTGTTATTTACTATCCACCCGCATTCTGGTAACGTAATTTAAGTTCCTTAACAGCAACCCCAATCATGTATCTGCTAAGGGAAATGCTCAAACCATCTCCTGCTGGCAGCCAGGCTCCCTCTTTGAAAGCCTGACCTACGTGTCGACAGTAAGCTCACTCTCGACATGTAGTCTCACAATGCTGGATGCCGCTGATCCTGATGAGACCTGTAGGTTGGATGCCCAAGCCTATAGCGACCCTAAAATATTGTAGTTGTAGCGAAAAAGTTTACTTTTATAGGACTTGCAGACATAAAAACACTTACTACAAGCAAATGATCTGCGCAATTTTCTCTTTTGCCGTTTGCCGGGGTCTTTGGCGCTCCAGCTGCCGGCAAGCCTCAGGTAGCTCGCAATGCCGCAAGCCAGGACTCAATGCTGTATGCCACCAGAGGGCCCAATAAACTGCATATTTCCAGTACCACTTGCGTACCAATTGCGCGCAGCAGTATCTTGGGTCTTGGGTTTAATTGACCAATAGTTTCTAGAAACCTTGGGCCCTTCACCCAGCCCCGACGGATTCATATGTACAACGAAAGGACCTGTCAAGTACCGCTCGTTTCAAGCAGCTCTGCAGATTCCATCTCGTCTTTGGTTCGATGTTCCGGTTGGCATCCCGAAGCCCTTTGTATCCCTACATATTCCTCTGACTGCTCCGGACGTATGTATCCCTGGACATCCCTCTAAAACCCCTTGTTTCAAGCCTATACTATACCCCTGAAGAACCCCAATATCACGCCATATAATCCCTACCCGAAGAACCCCTATAAGACTCTCTATGTACACATCTATACATATTAATGTATTGAGGCCCCCAAAGAAACCAAATCCCTAAAGCCAAAAACCCTAAACCCTACACAAACCTAAAACCCTAAACCCTAAACTCTACACAAACCTAAACCCCTAAACCCTAAACTCTACACTAACCTAAAACCCTAAACCCTAAACTCTACACAAACCTAAAACCCTAAACCCTAAACTCTACACAAACCTAAAA